TGCCACACATGCAACATACATGTGACACACACACCACATGTGTACACAATAAACAACACATACATGCACCACACACAACACACAACATACACAACACACAACTCACCACACACCACACACATATAAGACACAACACACAAGCACAGCACTCAAAATAACATGACAAACACAGTATGCCACACACAACAAACACACCACACACCACACACACACACCACACACCACATGAACACACCATATATACCACACACCACACACATGCAACATACACAACACATACACCACACATGCAACACACATGAAATACACACAACATACACGTACACACAATACACAATTTGTCGGGAAACGCAGCAAAGGAGAAAGGACTTAGTGCCTACATAAATTGGTTATGAGTAACATACAAACAAGGACCGGCAAACTGTGGAAGGCCGCAGGTGGCCTCTGGGGAGGAAGGCCTCTCCATGCGTCGTGCAGGGTGACCTCAGCTCTGCTACCATAAACGTTGTGCTCAAGGACGTAAAACCCTCTTCGTGGCACTATGACGCAGCCAGACTTGCAGGCTCCTTGTAAGGCCCGAGTTCCACCAGCTGTACGTAGATACTAGGCTAAAGATACCACACGCGCTTGTTTTGTGAAACTCCAAACCACCGCTGTTATCAACCCTTAGGATGACATGCCAGTTCCAGCCACTGATTCGCTCCACCATCAGTCACCCTCTCCCCCCATCACTCCACTCCTTCCCTACAGATCAAAGTGACTGTCATCAATAAATAGTGTGGATGATCAGAGCTTGGGGCCTTCACTGCCTCCAGTAACAGGTGATGGCCCCCCGGTCCCACTGTCTCTCTTAATCTGTCTGTTCCTCATTCCTTTGTCGCCACCAAACTTGGGGTACCCACGGGTGATGTAGGGCTGGAATCCCTACATTCTGGTGCCCAGTGTGGGGCTCACGGGTCCCTAAGTGCTGGCACCCAATGTGTGGGGCTCATAGATTACCTGCAACAACTCACAACACAGACAACACACAACTCACCACACATCACACATACCACACACATACACACGACATACACCACAAGAACACACCACACCAATACACACAACAAACAACACACACACAACACACATACAACACACACATACACACACACACACAATACACAACTCAACACACAACACACAGCTCACCACATACTCATTACACACCACACACCCCCCCCCACAATACCCACAACAAACATAACACATACACACTTGCGACACACAACACACAACTACACCACAATACAATATGTAACACACAACAAACCACATCACACCCACACCACACAACAAACACAGCATCCCACACACACGCGCGCATGCACACACACACACACACACACACACACGCAGGGAGGGTGCTGAGTGAAGATGGAGGCAGAAACTGCAGCGATGCCTGCCACCATGCCTGGCTATTTTTGTTTTTCTAGTTTTAGTAGAGATGGGGTTTTGCCATGTTGGTCAGGCTAGTCTTGAATTAGTGATCTCAAGTGATCCACCCACCGTGGCCTCCCAAAGTGCTGGGATCACAGGCGTGAGCCACTGCGCCTGGCCTGTTTTTCTTTTTTGAGACAGTCTCAATCTGTTGTCCAGGCTGGAGTGCAGTGGCAAAATCACTCATCCTCAACCTCCATGGGCTCAAGTGATCCTCCCATCTCAGCCTCCCAAGCAGCTGGAACCACAGGCACGCACCACCATACCTCGCTAATTTTTGTATTTTATTTATTTATTTTTTGTAACGATGGGGTTTTATCATGCTGTCCAGGCTGTTCTCGAACTCCTGGGCTCATGTGATCCTCCTGCCTTGGCCTCCCAAAGTGCTGGGATTACAGGCGTGAGCCACTGCGCCCAGACCAATACATTTTTCACATCGGATATTGTAGTGTTCATGTCTCAAGTTAGATTTGGGTCTTTGTATATTTTCCATCTCTAACTTTTTGAACATATGGAATGAGGTTGTCAAAACTTTTTAAGTGTTCTTGTCTGCCAGTTTTAGCACTGATGTCAGCTCTGAGTCAGTTTTACTTTTATTCTTACCATGGGTCATGCTTTCATGCTTCTTTGCATGTGTGGTAGAATGTTTTGATTGGATGTCAGACACTGACATTTTATTTATTTATTTTTTGAGATGGAGTCATGCCTTGTCACCCAGGCCTGGAATGCAGTGATGCAATCTCAGCTCACTGCAGCCTCTACCTCCCAGGTTCAAGTGATTCTCTGCCTCAGCCTCCTGAGTAGCTGGGATTACAGGTGCACACCACCACACCTGGATAATTTTCATATTTTCAGTAAAAACAGCGTTTCACCATGTTGGCTAATCTGGTCTTGAATTCCTGGTCTCAAGTGATCCACCTGCTTCAGCCTGCCAAAGTGCTGGGATTACAGGTGGGAGCTGTCGTGTCCTGGCCGACACTGACATTTTATGTTGTTGGTTGCTAGATTTTTGTTGTTGCTGTGATTATTTCTAAAGTATTCTTGAGCTTTGTTCTGGGATGCAGTTAAGTTCCTTGGGAACATTGATCTATTCAGAGCTTGCTTTAAAAAATTTCCAATAAGTGTTTGGCCTAGGGATAATGATTTCCTATGACAGAGGTGAGACCCTTCTGAGTACTCTACCCAATGCCATGTGAATTCTAAGATGTGCCAGTCTGGCTGGTGGGAGCAGTAATGACTCCCATCCCTGTGTGAGCACAGGGAGCTAGCTGCCTCCAATCTTGTTGGGTGCTTCTTTGCCCAGACTTGAGTCATTTCTTTGCCCACATGCACTAATTGTTGCTTTGCTGAGTGCCTGGAGGGGACCCTCTGCGTGTCTCCAGAGCCCTCTGCACAGCTGTCTCCTGTGATGTCCTGTGAACCTTCCTGCTTTGGCTTCTCTGGACTTGGCTCTGTCTCCTCCACTCAGGGACTCCATTGGTCTCAACCTGGGTTCCCCATCCCTGCACTGCAGCCTGGAAGCTCACCCCATAGGAGAAGCTCCAGCGACCTTAGGGCTCACCTTGTTAGTTTTCCTCCTCTGAGGAGTACCTGTCCTTGGTTGTCTGGGGTCTCATGGCCTGAAAACCACTGCTTCACACTTTTGTTTTTGTTTGTTTGTTTTGGTTGTTTAGCTGGGAGCGTGCATCCAATTCCCGTTACTCCGCTTGGCCAGAAGCATTAGTCTCTGCCTAATCATTTAATCAGGGTGAAAATGTCAAGAAAATAACACTAACATTTACTGAGCACTCCTGACATGCCAGACGCAGTGCTAAGAACTTCATTTTTCTTTTCTGTAGAAAATCCTCTCGTTGATTTGCATAATATTACACACTTTTCCACATGAGGTCCTTGAGTTTTGCAGAGGCCATGGAGCTAGGTAGCGGTAAAATCGCCACTCGAGGCCTGGTCAGTGGGGCTCTTGGCCACGCTGCTGTCTGCTCTATTGGTGGTCAGGTGTCATAGTGCAATAGGAGCCTCTGGGAGACTCTCTTCAGGGGCTGGTCCAGGACGCCGATGGCTGTCTTAGAATGGAATTTGACAGTACTTTTCGTGGGTCTTCAAAAAGAGGTGACCCTTCTCAAGAAGTTTAAACTTCTCGTTATAACCTTAATTTAGTCACTAACTTTTTACTTCCTTAGCTCATTGTGTGGTCTTCTATTGACTTGAATTTCTCCCAGGGTTGGTCATATGAAGAGGCCGTCAATGTCCAGCCACAGTGGAGACCCTCTAACTTTACATGTGGGGGCATTTCTCAAGAGTTAGTAGCAGAAGGTTCAACTTGAAATAGCTTAACCAGAGAGATCTGTTACCTCGTGAGCACAGGCTCTGAGGCAAGGTGGGCTGCAGGCACCATGTGATCAGGGCTACATCTCCCTTCCCTTGACTCTGCTTCCTGTGTCCTCAGGCAGCCTCCCTGGCTGCCTTAGGATGACTGCCACAATGAGAGGAGCTTGCTCGTTCACACCTGGTGGGAGAAGGACAGGTGCAGTGAAAGTCTTCGCCTCTCTGATTGGCCAGCCTAGGTCATGTGCCTGCTCCTGGACCTATTAGAGTCACCAGCGGGAGTCTGTGTGCTGATTGGCTGAAATAATCCCTGGCAAGGAGGATGACATCCTGTGATTGGATGATTGGGATCCATCCAGAATGAGAGATGCCCTCAGCCTCCCAAGTCCATGGGCAACCCAGAGAAGGGGCCAAACCCAAACCTGGTTCCTGCGGGGAGGGAGGGAGTGGAGAAGGCAAACGCAGTGGCCGATGAAGCTGCAGGGGTGGACGGTGCAGCGGGTGGAGAGCCAGGCCTTGTCCCGGGTCCTCCAGCACCTCCCTGTGGGCAGCGGGCAGCTCCCACCCCAGGTTCCCTTCCTGCTCCTGCAGATTGAGCTAGCTGCACAAGACAACTGGCATTTCTTGGGGGCACCCATGGTGCCACTTCTGCACAATGCCAAGGCTGCATGCGCAGAGTCCCATCTGGGAGCCTCCCGATTTCCCCTGGGGAAGGGGTTACAGTCACTTCAGTTTAGAGGAAAGGAAACAGGTGCAGAGAGGTTAGGAAACTTACCCCAAGTCAAATAGCTGGTCAACAGCAGAGCTGGGGCTGATGCCTATGTCCCTGGCAGCCCCTAAACCAGCAGACTCACCTGGCTGGGACAGGAAAGGCAGAGACAGGGTCTGGGATCTTCTCCACCCCCGCCCTCAGGACCTGCCTAGAGTGGCTGACTGAGAAACCCTCAGGGGGATGCGGTGATGACTGATGCCTTCACACTCCCACTGGGCACACACAGGCGAAGCCTCCGTGAGAAGAGATGCATTCGCGAAGGAGAAACGTCATAAAATATGAAGAAGACATTAAGCTGAAGACGCGTGAACCCCTGGGCAGTGAGTACGGGAAGTGGGGGCTGTGCCCCTGGACGCTGCAGCTGGGCTGGAGCCAACTCGCTGGCACCAAGGAAACGGCAGTATCAGAAGTCCTCGCTAGGTCATGCTCATGCCACGCGCCTGTCAGTTGTGTTGCATTTGTTGGGTGTGAAGGGTGATGTGATGGCCACGCTGCCCACAACAGGTCAGTACATTCCCAGGACGGTCCTGAAAGGCAGGTTCTCTTTTTCCCATGATACAAATAAGGTCAAGGACTCAGAGAGACCAGATAACCTGGCTAGGAGGAGGGTTTGAGCTGGATCTCCCTGTCCCCAAGTCACACTCTGGATCCCCCTCCTGACACTGAATAACTGGGGTCTCCTCTGTCCCCTCCTGTGGTAAGTAAAAAAGTTTCTTTATAAAGTTTCCTTTTTTTGTTAAAGAATAAATCACAAGTGTGTTAATAACTTTGTGAAGCCCTAGCCTATGTAGCCATTAGATGTGCCATGCTTACAGGCATGTAGTACATTCTATGTCCTTGTACTTTAACCAAGACACCTGGGCTGGATGTGCTCACAGGCATGCCCCAGCTCTCCATTGCTTTTATCTGTTTAGAAAAGTTTTAAGTTGTTAGCCAATCGGGGTTTAGTTTAGATTGTGAGGTCTGACTCCAGCCAACAGAGATCAGATGCAGCAGTAAGGACAACCCCAAACGCGTAAGAAATAAATTTGTGTGTATTCCTTTGTTTTTTGTACTCTCGTGGCAAGGTGGCTAGTGAGAGTACCCTTCCTGCAATCCAGAAAGTACAAATTATGTTGCTGAAAGATCCTTTGTCTCAGTGCTCATTTTTCCTTGTGGCACTGAGCGTCTATTTCCAACACCTCCCTGCGTCATTCTGCCCGGGACCCATGGCTGCGTAGGGCTCCTATGCCTCAGAAACCAGGTGGGCCCTTCCCCCAGTCCCTCTCCTCATTGTGTTGCAGGCAAAAGAGTGCAGACAGCTGAGCCTTCTCAGGCAAAAGGGTGCAGACAGACAGCTGAGGCTCCTCGCTTCCCGCTCCGAAGCTCAGAACCTCCCTTCCCTCCTGGATCCAACAGGAGCAGCTGCTGCCGCTGCCCATGCCTCTCCAACTTGTCACCCACGGATGCCTGGAAAACTGCACATAAACGTAAGATGATGTTTTTTTGTAAATAAGCAATGCAGCCACTCAGATCTGATTCGGGCCGTCAGCCCAATCCAGCAGAGAGAGATGCAGCTCCAGTATTCACACGTGTTCTCAGGGATTGTTTATTGCAGAATGCTGGGCACCAATAAAACTTCCGCATCAATTATTCATTATGGAATTCAGATGAAAGTCAGAAACCCTCCCACCAAGGGACTGCCTTTTTAAATTTAAATTTAATTTTTTTTTATCGCTTCTGAAGAGTGAGTCTTAGCATCTAACGCCATCAGATGCTACTTAGTGGGGAGAAATGATGGGTCTGGTGAGAGAGTTCTGACCTTATGTTCACATCTCCGAAGACACTTGGCTTTTCTTAAAGGATTGTCTCTGCCGGTGGACCACATGCTAACACCCTGCCTGGGGGCTCTGATTTTCTGAAGGGCACTGGGAGATGACAGTCTCTCTCTCTCTTGCTGCCTGTCCTTGGAGAGGAAAGTGGGTGGCGCCTGCAGCACAGCCCTCTGAAGCTCACAGGACACCTCTGGGGCCCAATTCACTGGGGCTGCTCTGGGAGAGAGTTGGGGCAGGTGCTACCTCTCTCTCTCTCTCTTTTTTTGAGACAGGGTCTCACTGGTGCCCAGCCTGGAGTGCACTGGCACGATCTCAGCTCACTGCAGCCTCCACCTCTGGGGCTCAAGAGATCCTCTCACCTCAGCCTCCTAAGCAGCTAGGACTACAGGCAAAAGCTACCACGCCTGGCTAATTTATGTACTTTTTTTGGGTAGAGACAGGGTTGCCCCATATTGCCTAGGCTGGTCTCAAACTCCTGGGCTCAAGTGATCTGCCTGCCTCAGCCTCCTAAAGTGTTGGGAATACAGGCGTGAGCCAACACACCTGGCCTGTTTCTCTCTCTCTCTCTTTTGTTTTTTTTGAGATGGAGTCTCACGCTGTCACCCAGGCTGGACTGCAGTGGCTTGATCTCAGCTCACTGCAACCTCCCAGGTTCAAAGAATTCTCCTGCCTTAGCTTCTGGGGTAGCTGGGTCTACAGTCGTGCACCACCATGCACTGCTATTTTTTTTGTACTTTTAGTAGAGACATGGGTTCACCATGTTGGCCAGGCTAGTCTCGAACTCCTGACCTCAAATGATTTGCCCGCCTCAGTCTCCCAAAGTGCTGGGATTATGGGTGTGAGCCACTGCACCCGGCCTTTTTTTTTTTTTTTTTTTATTGAGAAGATGAAGGCACAGAGATTGTTATGCCCCTTTACCAAATCTGCTCACTGAAGTCCTGACCCTCAGAACCTGTGGATGAAACCTTATTTGGAGAAGGGCCCTGACAGAATTAAGTTAAAATGAGGTCATTCAGGTGGGCGCTAGTCCAGTCAGACTGATGTCCTTCTAAGAAGGGGAGATTTGGACAGAGACACGCGCAGGTGCACACGGAGGCCGTGCCGCAGTGACGAAAGCCATCTGGGAGCCAGGGACAGAGGCTCAGAGAGACCCAGCCCCGCCCACACCTTGCCTGTGGACTTCTGGCCTCCAGGACCAGGAGAGGACAAGTTTCTGTGGTTGAAGCTGCCTAGTTTGTGGCTTCAGGAAACCAACAGAGATGAAGGGACGTTTTGAGATTTGCCGTAGTGGAGTGGGACTCTCCCGCCTGCTGGTGTCTTTGGGTTGGAGGAGGTGGAGCTCCCGTTGCCAAGTCGCGCCGAGGCCCCTGTGATGCCAGGATGCAGTGACAGAAGCTTCAGCAAGAACTCTGCTAAAGTCTTTATTTCTTTTTTTTTTTTTTTTTTTTTTTTTGACGCGGAGTTTCGCTCTTGTTACCCAGGCTGGAGTGCAATGGCGCGATCTCGGCTCACCGTGACCTCCGCCTCCTGGGCTCAGGCAATTCTCCTGCCTCAGCCTCCTGAGTAGCTGGGATTACAGGCACGCACCACCATGCCCAGCTAATTTTTGTATTTTTAGTAGAGATGGGGTTTCACCATGTTGACCAGGATGGTCTCGATCTCTCGACCTCGTGATCCACCCGCCTCGGCCTCCCAAAGTGCTGGGATTACAGGCTTGAGCCACCGTGCCTGGCCTAAAGTCTTTATTTCTTTCCTTTGAAGAACCCTGGAATGCTCTCTGTAAATATTTGCGAAATTAATTCCACAACCCACGAATGAATACAGGGATGAATGAGTGACTGAGTCTCACCTCAGGAGGACGCGTCAGACACAGTGCTGTCCCGAAGCCTGCCATGTGTGTTCCATGAGCAGACGTGGCTTCTTCTAGGGCCCTGGCAGCCAGGGCTCAAGTCGCTCCTGTGCCCAGAGGGCAGGGGTGCCAGGTGGGAGGGGGAGGGTGGAGGGGTGAGGTCCAGTGGGCCTTTCCCCTTCAGCATTTGGGAAGAGTTGGGGTCTGCCCTTTGAGGCAGTCACTGCTGGGAGTGGGGATGGGGCACGCAGCCCAGAGCTGCAGCCACCGCGGAGCCTGGGCCTCGCCTTTTCTTTCCAAGCCCTTCCTGCAGGGTGAAGAGGCGGGCTCCGCTCACATGCAAGCGTGGCTCAGAACAGCTTCACGTGCACCTCAGGTGATCTTTTAGGGGTTTTAAAATTTTCCCTTTTTAGCAGGAGTCATCATTTTCCTTTTCCATAGGGAGAAACAGGTGATGTCCTAAAAGAAAAACCAAAACTCTGACATTTATTGGATTTATGCTGAAAATATTGAAGAGTTCATGGAGAGGCCTTTGATCCTGAGAACCTTCTGGGTTTTCATTGCTTTTGTGTTTGCTGACCTCAGGCCAGGGCGCCAATGCTCCCTCGGCCTTGAAGCCCGGCGGGAAAGGGGAATGGGCCGGTCCACACTCAGGAACTCCGTGGCCCTCCTTCTCCTGTCTTCATTTTTCACCAGCGCGCCGTCCCTGACACCCCCTGCCCATTGCATCCGTACGCCTGTGTTTCGGTTTTGGTGGTTTGCTGACGCTTTTTGTTAGCAACTCATTGGGGCTTTCCAGTCTGCAGGAAGGACTTAGCCATAGACTCTTCTGGAGTCCCTGCAGCCTGGCTGAACCGTGAGCTGTCCCCGGCCAAAGCCGGCCCATCCTGCGTTCTGTCTGCAGGAAATGTTCCTTCCCTCCACACCCGCACTTCCCCGACACCAGCCGGGTCCAGGGTTTGGTGTCTGCCGGGCTGTCTCCTTGTCCTCTGCTGCCCTGGCCACCCCTGTCCCCAGCCTGGACCCAGAGCACCGTGTCCTGGCCTTTGTCAGGCTCCGTCTATCCCTGCACCTCAGGCCCTGGTCCCTGAACTGCCACCTGCCTCTGAGGGTCCACTCTGGCCTCAGCCAGTAACAGGCCCTCAGATCATCACGTAAATGAACGAACTTCCAGAAGAAATAAGGGCGCCGCGGGCATTTAAAACATTCGTGCATTCGGTGTCTGCCTTATCTTTGTTTTCCCCACGAAAAGAGCAGCATCTGGGGAGTGAGGGAGGCCTCGCTGGCAGCACTGGCGGAATCCAGCGCGGGAGCCTGCCATGCCAGGCGCCAGACACGCCAGGGTTCCCGCACACCTGTTCCCGTTCACGTGAAGTGGGGGGGCCTCCTCCTCCCTCCTGTCCCTCCCACACGTCCCCACCCTGAGTCGGGGTCTGTGCCGCGGAATAGCCCACAGTGAGTTTTGACCTCGTCCTCGCCATCCTGCTGGTCTTTTATTTAAAAGGCAGCAGAGAAGGGGACTCTGGTCTCTCTCCCCACCCCACACACCAGCAGCTGCACGGCATGGAGCTCGTGTTTCCGTGGCTCTGTGCCTTTGTGTTCCGAGTCCCGCACAGTGGGGAGAGGTGGGGGCAGAGACAAGAGCGAGCTGACAGGACAGCCACCTTGTCCCCAGCGTCCCTCCAGGAGCTCCCCAGGTTGCAATGGCAGGCACCGGGTCCTTCCTGGAGCCTCTCGCCTCTGCTAGGCAGCGATGTGTTGTAATACGTTCCTGGAACGCTTCCTCACCATCTGTCTCCCGAGCTGGATTATCGCTCCGCTCCGAGAGAGGAGTTCTGATTTGCAATTGTAAATTGTCTTTTTCCCCCCTTCTCACTCCACATGTGGGGACTCTGACAGCTTGAAGGGGCTGTCGTGGTTTGCAGTGAGCCTGGCTTGTTTTCTGCACGGCACAAAACACAGTCCCTCTGGAGTCCCTGGGGGGACGGGGACCGTCCCCAGGGTTGCTGGGTGGGTTGTGGAGGTCAGGTGGGGTGGGGTAGGAGGCTGGGAGGGAGGGAGGCGCTAGACACATGGTCTTTCTCCAAGTTGACCTCAGGCTAATGCTGGGACTCGACCCTGACTCCTCCAGGGGACCCAGAGCCCACGCTGATGAGCTCACGTGTGCAATGAGGTAAGAGCGGATGCCACCAGTAGCACCTGCCCTCTTGCCTCTGTTCCTCTCCCGTGAGAGCCTTTACACCATGGGGCAGGGCCAGAGGGCTTCCTTGCTATGGCAAGGATTCCTCCGCATGGCACCCTCCAGGCTCCGCACCCTGCTGGACCCGCATGAGGCCTGCTGCCCGCCGCCTGCTGCCCTCCTCTGTCCCCAGGGACGCTGATCTCCTTATCATTGTGCCTGGAACATGCCAGGGCACCTTTCACAGGCCTCTGCCCTGCAGACAGCTTCCCTGCTGAATTCTATAAAACATCTGAAGAGGCGTTAATATCAAATCTTCGCAAACGCCTCCAAAAGATGGGAGGAGAAAATACTTCCCAGCTTCATCTGAGTCCAGTGACCCGTGGGTGCCAAAGCCGGACAAAGATACCACAGGGCAAGGACCCGGCGGGCGCAGCCCGCAGCCCCTCCCACGTCTCACTCTTCCCGCAGGCTCACTCCTGCCGCTGGCCAGGGCCTCTGCTCAAATGCCAGCCTGGGACGTTTCCTGACTGTTCCAGCACGGGCTGCTCAGTGCCCTATCCCTCCCCCAGCCTTGCTCCCTCCAGCAGGGTCCTGCTGGGGACATGTGCCTGGCCCACCTGTCCG